GTGAAGGACAAATGGAAAGAATGAGCAAATTCACACAGCATTTCGCATAAAATAACAATTTCAAGGAAAGAAAAGTAAAAAAGGTAAAAGTACAGCATTTCTAGGTGTTACAACTGTGCCATCATCTCTTGAACTTGACTGCTGACTTATTTTCTTGACCTTGAAAATGGAGGGTTTTCAGATTTATCCGTTATTTCAGCGCAAATTGAGACCTACTCCGGCGTAATAAAATTATTAACATTACAAACCAAGGTAAGATAGGTTCATGGCGGCAAATAAGCAGAAAAAATGAGAATAAAACAAGTACTATACAATGTTAACACAGAGTATTACTTTCTTGTAAACTGACAATGGATGTTGCATCCGGAATATATAAATACGAATTTTAAACACATTGTGTGGTTTCTAAAAGCTATATACCGTAAATCCTCGAATTAGCGCCTGGGGCGCATATTTCAAATTTAGGAGAAGACGGGGGCGCTTATTCGAGGGCGGCGCCTAGTCACGGGGAGTGCTTATTTCATTTTTTCCAAATCGTGGCCTGACATGATATCATCTGCGCGTAAACAACAACATAATCTGTTTATCGACTTAAAAAGCTGATCCTAAAGTTTAAATCGCGGCACCGTCAACTTAATGTGTTCACAAACTGAAACAATGTACAAATCTAAAAATACACGACGAAAACTATACATCCTTTGTTGTCTCATTACTCGTCCACAAAATGGGGGGAGGGGAGGGGGGTGCTTATTTGAAGGAGGCGCTTACTCGAGGGGGCGTTTGTTCGAGGATTTACGGTAAGGTAGGCATGATGAATGTTCCAAACAAGATGGGGACCATTTAGATCAGAACTTTTCTCTGTCGGAGCTAAATGTATGAAAAGAAAAACACAGTTTTGTGCTACAACCAGGCCGATAATGAATGGCAGTTGCCATTCAATGATTCTAGAAAACACCCACCTCCATTGTCTTCTTTACACGGTCGAGGAAAAATTGATCAGCGGTGCTTTCGTAAAGAGATGACGACGCAATCGTGGCTTTGCAATTCTTTCTGCGCAATTGTCATTATTCCAGACACTGCTGCGTGGATTCAATAGTTCTTCGCATTTTGCTTCACTAATTAGGTGGACTTCATCGTCATATGTTCTAGGTTCAATCATTTAAATCAGGAACTCATATTTTCTGGAACAAAAATAGGGGTTCAGAAGCGGGTCCAGAAGGGGGTCGAGAATGGAGTCCAAAAGGGGATCCAGCTGGGGTCCAGTAGGGGGTCCAGGTGGAGGAGTCCACGTTTTGTTCCGACCCAGTAATCTGAAACGGCGGTGGGTTGATCAATGTGTCATTGTGTGATGGCCTTTTCGATTGCGCGTCTGTGTTCACCAAATCTGTCGCTGAGATGACGTTTAGTCTCGCCTATGTATTTAACGCTTGTGCTATATATTTAACATTCCACATCCAGGCAACTGTCATAGCAATGATTTCCTCTGCTTTAAACAAATTCATGAATTATTTGGGTTTAAACCCTTTGACAGACGCCAAGAGACAAGACTTATTTTGCTTTGTCAGACGAGGCATACACGGTAAACACGGACCGAATAAAATTAGATCGGAAAAAAAAACCCACTATATCTGGTTGAAGGAAATTATGACCTGGAACATAACCTCGTGCTGGTCATGATTCCTTTGTGGGCTACCTATTCAAACAAAGTTGTTAAGCTTGCAGCGACTGACAAGTTCCAAAAGGGGACGAAACGAAACTTGTCGCGACCACGGAAAACTAAAGTTGAGGGTAATCGGCGATTTATTGCATGAAAATAAACGATCGTAAACTGGAAAAATCAATGTAACGAATTTCTATCAATTTAGCGGAAAAGGTTGCGTGACAAATGGTCAAATCTTACACGAGACAAACTAAAGATTTCGAGTCGATAACATAACGAAATTGAATAACAAGACATCAAAAAATAACCGCAGAAATGTTACGCTAAGATACGTAATAAAATCAAACAAGAATACACAATAAAAAGACTCTGATTAACAGCCTAATGCTCTCGAACCTAAAAGGTGGGCGTTCGTTCTAACAGCGTTAAGAACATTTTCTAATTTAGACGATTATAAGTCAGTTAACATTGTACAAAATTGTTTATTCTTTCGCCCATAACTATAAAAATGTAACCTAAACCAAGTAACAAAGGTGCTCACATATTGGTCCGCTTGAGCCAAGAGTTAGGAAATCAGAAAACGTCGCGAGTACTGGGTTGGCCAGGCCACGTGAAATTGAACGAAAAACTACTTTAAAGGGATGCTAACTCAGCTTTTATATGCGCGTGGTGACGCTTAAAGATCCGACTACAAGAACAATAAAAAACAGAAGTAAACATTGTAACTACGTTCGTAACTAAGACACAAAGATATAGAGACAATTATTAACTAATCAAAATTAGCCGTTGTCTAGAGTCCTGAACATTTTCTAATTTATGTTCCGTTTTTCTTCTTTTAAAGCTGTCGCAATCAGGTTCCAAAGAGGTGAACACAATTGGACACCCAGAGGGAAAAGGGGGAAGTGGAGTACCGTGGAACCCCGCTATACGGACTCTCTCATAGTACGGACACCTGGATATTACATACAGTTTTTCCTGACGAAAGGCTCATACATTTTCTATTCCATCAGCTCGCTTAAGGTGGCTCCCTATAGTTTTACGATTGCACGCGCGCATAGGACGAAAGCTCAAGTAATCTGCGCGCGCTCAAAGGAAAACGTCTGTGTTTTTCGACTTTTATGACGTCAACATGAGTACAAAAAGCAAAACTGACAGTGAATTTTCTCGCGTTTCCTTCGTTGAATTATTTTGAAATTTGGCTCAGTTCTAACCACATACAATTCTTTTAAAATACCCTATTTTTGTTAAAATCTGTCAGAGCTAATCTAGTATATTTAGAAGAATGCCAAAATACAGAATACTGGAAAAACCGTCTGAACAACCTTGACTTTTTAGCAATTCAGAATGCCAGGCAATATCATTTCCATGATGTGGCAAAGTATGCAAAAATTTCACCGAAGGAAATTATAAATGTTAAGGAGTTCAGGCCAAAATGAGGAAAATATCTGCCTGTCATTGGATGAGTTGCCATGGTAACGGCCTTAATCTAAAAATTGCCAACCAAAACATAAGCCTTATTTTAACAGTACCCATACTGGTAAATCTCTACAGGGAAAACTTTAAGAGAAATTAACTAAGTTTCCTTTTCTAACTCGCGCTCTATAGGGAGGGTGTTCGTAAACACCCTAGGGAACCACCTTTATTCGGATACCAGTTAATACGGACAGCGAACACTTTCTGGGAACTAGTGCAAGTCTCAAACTGTGCATTGGAATTTTAAATCCCTAAAACTTGGAAGAAAAGAGGGAGAGTTCCGAGTTTTTCTTATGAATCAGAAATGACTTAACCTTCTTTATAATCATACAAATGGCATTACTGTTTACACTTAAAAGAAGAAAGCTACTATAGAAAGTCTGTTAATATGGGTGTTTATTACCTCACAACTTTATTTATAATAATGTGAGATTCATAAAACGCATCTGCACATGGACTTTCTTAATCTATTGGTACTGATTTAAATTTTCGGATTTAGATGCCCTCTAAGTTTCAGGGGTTTTTTTTTTAGTCTGGTCACGTGACTGGTCATATATGGCTGTGATTGAAAAAAAAAAACATGTGCAAAAAGCTTATCCTTAAGAGGTCTGGTTTAATTCAAAATATGACAGTTAGAAACCTTCCTTAACAACAAATTCATGAGCAATTGGTAGTTATGGAGGACCCCCTTTAATCACATAAAATAACATGTAAAAAGGTTTGCAAATCACTTCCTGCTCTATTATATGTCACAGTGCTATGTGGTGTGCTTTATCTCTGTACTACTTTAACTGAGAGGGAATTCGTCCCCGAAGCAGCAAGAAAACCAGCTATTGCTCTTGACAGCTCTACACTGGAAAGGGCATGTACCAGGTCAACTCCTAAGTGTCATTTGTCTTACTACATGTAGTAACCAGAAATGAGACTACATCTACCACTACATTTGAATCACATCCAATTACCTCCTGGGGGCAGTGTTTTAGGTGAGACAAACCTTGTTAGACCTGTAGGATTGGAGCAGTTGCATACACGGTGCTCTGTTCTAGGTTGTGCTGGTTTTCATTTAGTAGATAAGCAATTAGCTTATATTATAAGCAACATGTGCAGACACAGTCTTTTGTAAGGAAATTTGCCTGACAAAAGGCCCTACACATACAGTAATTACCAACATCTTACCGTTGTGTAGACCTGCTTATGCTTATGCACTAGTGAAAACCAGCCTTAATGGACCACTTTCCTGTTATCCCATTTCAATATTTTTGTTATAGTTCAAGTTCAATGTTATTTAGCTCTTATTAACAGAGCAGGAGGTCTGCATGGGAGAATCTTGACCGAGGCTGTGAGTACAGACCGAACACAGTGAGGTCTGTACACACTACCAAGGTCAAGATTCTCCCATATAGACCGACTAAGCTTGGTTAATAAGATGTTTATTATATGGCAAACAAGAACAATTTAATTGGTTTAATGTAACTGGTTTGTACTAACTGACATTTTGCTTGCGAATGGCGATGAGCTGAATTTAATTCTGCCGGAGTTTGCTCGTCCTCTTTACTTTTTTTTTTCTCATCAAAGTTTTTGGCACTTCCCTAAATAAATATTGTTAGAAGAAAATAGTCAATGATTTTGCATTTTAGCTTGCAACCTTTTCACTGCAAAACATTAGCAGTCTAGAATGCAGTCTCGATGGGAAAATCTAGACCGCTTTCAATATTGATTTCAGCCAATCAAATTTGTGAATTTGGTAGTTCCCAGTCTTTGTGAGACAGAGCCATATAATAATAAATAATAATAATAATAATAATAATAATAATAATAATAACAATAATAATAATAATTTTAATATTTATCCAGAGAGCCCACTCACCTTGGCGATTTTCAGTGGGGCCCTGCAAATCATAATAAAAATTAAAAAGAAAAGAGATTAAAAAAAATTGATATTACAATATAGTAATAATATATAATAACTTCTCTAACTAAAAAATACACCCCAAAATAACAAATGTAAAGCATCTATTTAACAGATGCTCCTGACAATTACAGTAGGTCATTTACAGTACGTCTAATATTGGAAGGTGTGTGTCATATTTCACGAGGAATTAAGAGACAATTTTGATGCAAAACCACTACTGGAGAATGAGACTCAGTTACCTGTCCATAAATTTGGGATTTTCTAAACATCAAATACAATCCTTTCAATTAGTGGTTTATTATGTTTTTCCTACATTACATTGTACCTTTGGAGGTGCATGTTCATTGTTTTCATTGTCCAATGGTGGAGGTGGGACACTCACTGAGTCCACGATGGGATTCACGTTTCTAGATGACTCCTCTAATTCATCACACTCAACATCCTCTGAAAGTCATTAATTTATTTCACAGTAAAATATTAAATAAAAAGAGCTACAAGTAATTGTTATCATATAAAAAATCTGTTAAAAAAAAACCTAATTTAAGTCCTCGTCAGTGATTAGTGTAGATTTAACCAAACCCAAAAGCAGAGCTCCTGATCACAAGTTAACCTGACTAGAGCCTGCATCCAATCAAAAACCGGTAACTGAACAGCAGTCAACTTCAGAAAAAATAACATGCCCTCTATGAGTTCTAAACTTGAGCCCAAGATGTGATCATGTGATACTGGTCAGTGGATACCTTTTCTTGGCAGGTGTCAATTGACCATAACATGGATGTCCAATATCAAAGATGTAGGCTGTAAACCAAGGCTGCATGTCTCAGTCATTTTCCAGTCTCCAGTCTCTCATCAGCCGAAAACAATTATGAGAAATCGAATTGCAAATGGTAAGCACCATTTTATTCGGTTGAGCCTTTACCATTATTCAAAGGTCATTCCAACAGGTTCATTCTGACAAATGGTAAGCACCCATGGTCACCTCCAGCCTCACTTTCATTCATGGGTCAGGTCACGGAGCACACAACTGTAAAATGCCCTATTGTGGGGTTTTGACTTGCTTACTATGTCGAGAAATTTTTGCATGCCAAACATTGCCATGGCAATTTTGTATGTGAATTAAAAATTAATGCTGAAAATTATAGTAATTTGTCACCCATGATATTACCTGGCAAACTTGTACTGTTTAAATCAGACCTAAATCAACCCCAACAAAGCATTCAGTCAAGCTTTACCAGTGTTCCAGATAAGAGACGGGTCTCGGGTCAAACACCCGACGGCAACCGCTACCTGACCTGACACTAACGAAAAGAAAATCAGCTAAAGTACTCATATAAATTAAAGTACTATAATTATGAAAGAAAACAAAAGTAAATAAAAGAGTGAAGTTTCTAATGAAAAACGATTGAAAAAAAAAATTACTGTTATACAAGATATCAAGGGAAAGAAGTTTGAAAAAACGACTCAACAAAATTCCAAAGGCGACTTGACTTGCAAATCATTTGGTCCTCTGTTAATTTAGCAAATAAAAGAGAACGTGCCTCAAAAATAAAAATTGCGTTGCTGTGGCATTGTTAATTTCCATAGTTGTTAGTTCAGGATAAAATAAATACAGTTCGATGATCTCACTAATGCTCAAGAAACTGAGAATTATTCATCTGATTCATTTGTGGCGGTTCTGTGTCGTGTGATCTTCTCCTCGGTTACCTAGCACATGATCAATTTTTTCCCCGATTGAATTTCATTTCTTTGTAAACAAGATTCCAAAACGTTACACGAACAGCAGCCGGACTCCAACAGGCTGACCATCATTGAAAATTTTGGAGAGAATTTGTTGTTTAATCCTTAGAACTACTGTAAATAATCTGCCAAAAATCGGGTCTGTAAAAAGCCAGTATAAGTTTTTGTTTTTGTCTGTACAAGGTCATTTTCTGAAGTCATGCCTGACTAATCATGGAAGCCTGATAATATTTATTGTCGTTTTATGATACTTTTCATGAATTAAACAAGTGATACCTTTCAACTTTCTCGATATTGATGAGTTAATTTTAAAGTAAAGGAAGAGAGGAAAAATTATTCTTCTCTTAGAGTTCTGCAGTCTTCTGCTCGCATTATCGCTTACGCACTTTGGCGGGAATGTCAAATCCAAATATATTTTCATGTGAAAACCGAGCCGTGACGGCCGATGTGACGGCCCAAACATGCAAACCTGGCACCGGGAAATCATTTGCCTCAAAATAAGAGCGAACAAAACAGCAATATTTGTTCAGTGTCTGGCAAAAACGATCCAAGGATGGTGTAGACCACCTGGGGTAAGTTTGTTCTGCAACAATGTTTTTACAGTTGAACTTATTTCACTTCAAAATGGCCTGAGTTCATTCATTCACTCGATTTTTGTTTCTGCTGCTACAGTAACCGATCCGATATAAATACGTTCTTTTCACATGAACTGAAAAAGGAAAATATCGTAATATAATATAAGCGAAATATTTCGGCCCTCTTTTGCAAAAATAATATTGTTGAATGATGGAATGGTCATAGTGATCATATGCGGTGTGAAGAACAGGCTCCTGTGAATGTTGAAGAAGCAGATTTACATCAGTTAATTGAAGCAGAAAGTGCGTTTGGACTTCCGAAGGACTTAGATGACTCAGATGACAGTGGAGTGGATTCTGACTAGTTTACACTACAGTCCAAACTGTTGCATGCAAAAATAAGCTGCTAGTGTTTGATGTAAACACAAATGCCACATTTGGTTGTTCATTTTTGCTATGTATTTTTCAGAATGTATACAAACT